AATGAAAGGGGGCAACGTGAAGAAAATGAGGACAACGGAAGGAGCGGAGCTGTCATTGGGAGGGGGGACAGGGTGATGCGGGGAGAGGAGAGGGTAAGGGCACTGGGGACTAGAGGAGGAGGGGGAGGTGCTGAGAGAAGGCTTGAAAGAAGGGGTGGGCATGAGAAAGGCAAGGATGGAGCAAGGCATCTGTGAGGGCACAGGGGCATGAGGGGAATGGGGGCAAAGGGTGGTGAGGGGGTGGGCATCCATCAGGGAAAAAGAGGGTACAGCAGGGGCAGTGAGGGAAGAGGGAGGCACCAGGAGGGTGCAGGGGTAAGGGAAGGTGCAGGGAATTCTCGGGGTGAAGCAGTAGGGCAGACACCTGCAGGGGAGGGACCAGCACCAGGAGGAGAGAGGCAGGGCAGGTGTGTAGAGGGAGGTGTTAGGAGAGGGGCTGAGGAGGGGTAGCTCACATGATCAGAGTGGGGCTACTGGAGGAGTGAGTGAGTGAGTGGGTGGGGGGGGAAGGGACCCTTTTTGTTTTTTCTCCATGGGGCCCCCCCCGCGATATTGAGCTGCCCTGGGCCCCGGAAAACTCTCATCCGCCCTTTCCTGCCATCATAAAAGAAGCCAGTAACCCCACCCGCTATCCCAGGACAGAGGATGTGGCGGGCAGCCTGGACAGGTGCAGGGGTAGCCGGGAATACGAGTCCATTTGCTACCCGGGGCAAACGAGGCTGGGGATAAGCAAGCCGGGCGTGCACTGGGCGGGAACGCTGACCGGCGGCGGGGTTGTGGCGCTGCCCCCCAGGCAGGTTGCAACGCAGCGCCTGGAGCCAGCAAGCTGGGGAGGTGCGAGCCAGCCCAGGGGCCGGGCCTCAGCCGCGGGCTCCCTCCCCAGAGCCCCGCCCAGCGCGGGGCAGAGAGGCGGGACCGGAGCGGGCTGGAGCTGCCCGGGATGGTGGAAGTGGCGCTGCGGGGCGGCCGCCCTCGGCGCAGGTGAGGGGCGCGTGCGGCATGCAGCCCGCCGCCCGGGTATAGCGAGCGCCCGGCCCGGCCCGCCCAGCCTCGCGGGGTCGCTCCTCCAGCCCGGGCCGCGGGAACCTCCTGCGCAGGCAATGGCCTGCGCCCTGCTGCCGCTGCTGCTGGCCTGTGGCTGGCTGGGGGGGCAGGCGCTGCTGGGGCAGTGCCAGCAGGAGCCCCACACCCCGGACTGGAGAATGACCCTCAAGACGATCAGGAACGGGGTGCACAAGATAGACATGTACCTCAACGCGGCGCTGGACCTGCTGGGAGGAGAGGACGGCCTGTGCCTGTACAAATGCAGCGATGGTAATAACAACAAGTACCTCCTCCCCCCGCGCTGGGGGGGAGCTTGGGAGGAGGCCTTTTTTTTTTTTTTTTTTTTTTTTTTTTGAGCGGTGGAGGGAGGCTTGGAACCAAACTTGGCAGCTGATTCTTTTCTAAAAACTCTCCTGAACGCTGACAACGCAAAATAATTCTGACTTTCAAAATTCTCCCTTGGGTAATTCGGTTCTTTCTCCCAGGACTTGGGTTCATTTCTAGGGGCAATCGATCAATTTGCTGGTAACACACTGAACATCGGGTTAGGATTAATGCGTTCTGAACCATTACATCATCAGAGGCTTTTAGTTTAGGAGTTTCTCTTGCTATAATGCACAGTGGTGGCAAGATTTCTCCCTCCGCCACTGTCAAACCCCAAAAGGAAAAAAGTAACTGTCAGTTATTTTGATAACTGACATCTGTGATAACTGCGAATTAATATATTATCTGGAACTTTTAAAAATTGTCCGTTAAAAATAGGGTCAGATACAGCCACATCTTCCCTGTAATACAGACAATTTGTGTGGTTAGTTTCAATATCTGGTGTCTACAACATACCCATAAGTCTGATACAAGATTGTTTGTCAATAAATTTTGTTTGCTTTCATGACACTTTTTGTCTTTAAGACTTTGGTTTAGCAACTCAAACTTGCTGTATTTTAGAAGTAATAGATCTATTTTGCAGCATTTTTTCAAACTGTCTGGTCATACTGTATTTGGTCACAGCAGATATAATTTACTATTTTCATTAGTTCAAGGGTCTTTGTTACAGAAGTATTGGGCACTTATAGGAAGAAACATTTAAGCATAGAATGGTTATTGGCTGTACTAGGATATGGTGGTTTTCAGACTTTTGGATATAAAAAATATGTTCACAGAAAGTTCCATCGGAATTGCCAGTCCAAATTAAAAGAGGGTCTGTTGAGATTACTGTACAGAAGTTATTACGTTTAAAATTTTCTGGAGTTTAATGAAAAACAGAGAACATGGTTTTAGTGAACCTGAGCTTTGCCTTAAGTTTAACATATGCTATTTTCACTGGTAAAACAAACTAGTTGGATCTTGTGCTACTAAGCATACTTTTTTTTTGTCTGGAAGGGTCAAGAAAGAATTTTTTTCCTCCAGCACTGAAGGAAAAGATCAGTGTTTGGGGATTACTTTCCTTTGCAGCCCTAATATTTTTAATTGCTAGAATCTATTTAATGTATGCAAGATATTTCAGTTGGGGAATTTTTTGAAAATAATTACAAGATAGACCATTTATAACCTAAAGCCATATGAAATGTTTAAAATGGAGGAGAATTCAGTGGAATAAGCCTCTTTAAACTGGGACAGCATTAAGTCTCATCTAAAATTTCTTCCTTATCCTAAATGATTCTGGCTATTTGTATGTACATGCAGTTTTTCTTTGATGCTTCTCTTTGCTTTAGGAGTAGCAGTGACACCATACATTGATTTCTAGCTTCCCATCTCAACACGTGTTCTCTCACACACTCTTTTCTGTAGAATGCTTCCTTCAGTTTGGTTTCCGATGCCAAAAACAGTTCAGTTGTATTCCTTAAAAATTCCATACTTCTTAGTGTACACAGTAATTTCATAGCTTTTCCCTCTTTTATGCTGTCTAAACTATCAAGGAAGTCCTGCTCAAACAGAATCAATGCTGTGGTTATATAGAGATAAAGCAACAATACTCCTGTATCATTTTCATTTCAGTTAGTAGTTCTGATGTCTAAAATGAGACTTCAGAGCAGAATCTTGGACTATAGATAAGTACAAAGAAGTCTAAGTATATTTACAAGAATTTGTTTTCTGCTTTTTAATTCTTCCCTTCATACAGTAAAAATTAAGAGGTACTTAATACCTGTAGCTCCCCCTGACTTGCAGCTTGGTAGAAGCTCTGAATATTCAGGTGCCTAAATATGGCTTTAAATGCCTAAAGTTTGTGTGTGTATAAAGATGTTAAAACGCAATTATCTGGCTAATCAACTATGCAATTAGTTGATAAGTGTTGCTTTGCAGAGACACAATGCGGGTAGCTCCAGGAGCCAACTGCAGCCAGGACTTAGCAGCCAGAGCCACCTATGCTGCGGCTCTGCATTTTAAATGTAGTAAGAGCCACTGGGTTCTTACTACATTTAAAATGCAGAGGTGCAGTGATCAGCTCGAGCCAGGACTGCTGGATCCCAGTTCACGCTCAGGCCACTGGGTTCTTACTACATTTAAAATGCAGAGGTGCAGTGATCAGCTCGAGCCAGGACTGCTGGGTCCCAGTTCATGCTCAGTCAAGCAGCCTTTGTTCACAGCCAGCCCTGGCCACCGCGAACAAGGGGTTGCTTGGCGGCAACAGCCCATGTCCACGGGGGCCAAGCTCCTTGCTGTGATGCCTGCAGACAAGGGCTGCTTCACAGCAGCATCCCCTCTCCTCCCCCTGCTGCCTGTGTTAGAGGCATCGGGGGAGGCAGATGGCACCCTGGAGACAGTGCTGGGGGGAACTGGCTTTTAAGCAGGCTCCACCCACCACCAGCTCCTGTCCCATCCCCCCCACCTTTCTGCCTTTCAGAGGCAGCAGGGTGGGGGAATACTGCAGAGAGCATGGGGCGAGCGGGAACTGCTTGGGTCCCTGTTTGCTCCCTGCAGCACTTCTGCTTTTGAAATGTACAAGAACCCTATAGGATCCACCACAGTGGGAACCAGCAGGAGCCAGGACTGAAGCAGTCCCCGCTGGTGCTGTTTCCCTGCTGTGCCTCTGCCTCTCCTGCCCCCAGCACTGTTGCTCCTGCTCACCCCCCTTGCTGCCTATCTCTGATAGAGGTAGCACGGGGGATGGGGAGGAGGAGTGAGTGACTAGTCGCTTACATCCCTTTTATTTTTATGTGTGTGTGTGTGTGTATGCTTATGTTAAGCGCACACACCTTATTATATACAATTATTATTATTATTTTAAGCAATAAAATAAGCTACTGCTCAGACACTCGAGGCAAAAGATCTGTACTCAATACTTTTTAAATTCCTTTTTACAGGGTCGAAGCCTTTTCCACGGTATGGGTATAAGCTTTCACCGCCGAATGGATGTGGATCCCCACTATTTGGAGTTAATGTAAATCTCTCTCCTTTATGCATTTTATTTCTTCCACATTTACTCAGACTTTCATATTTAAAAATGGGTTGCAAGCAGTCTACTTCAAAAAGAAGTGTCAGTTTTACGCTTCCATTCCAAACACAGAAATGTGTATTGTATTTATAAGGCCATTATGGTCATTTTGTCTGACCTCTTGCATAAAGAGGCCAAAGAATCAAATTCATTAATTTCTTCATGAAATCCATAAGGTCTATTTGAGTTGTAGGAAACCTTTTAGAAAGATACCCAGTCTCGATTTAAAGACTTAAAGTGATCGATTCTCCATCGCATCTGTATGTAAGCTGTGGTGGGCAAAATACGTCCCATGGGCCAGTTCTGGGCCCCCATGATTCTCTAGGCTGCTAGTATCCTCTGGCCCAGCAGGACCTTCCAGCAGGCTCCCTGCCTGCACGCTGCTCAAAGTAACCAGCTACTGTGGCCACGTGTGTCTCTGCATGCCGAGTGAGCCAAAGGAGTGAGAGCCTCAATGAGCTGCTCATAATCAAAAGCAGTTTCAGGCCAGTGGGACCTGCAAGAATGGTGCTGGTGGCGGGGCCAGTGCATGGAGCTATCCCCCTCCCCCCACCTGCATAGGGCTTGCGATGTACAGAAACACATGACCCGAGCCACTGGCCACTTTGAGGAGGGTACGGTAGGCAGAGAGCCTACCTGAGGGTCCTGCTGGGCAATTGTGTGGGATCTATCTAGGCAAGCGCCTTCCAGTCAGAGCCAAGACCTGGCACCCCACTTTCTCCCTCCTCCAAGTCACATCCCAAACCCTCTGCATCCCCTCCTGCACCTCTGCCCCGGTCACAACTCCCTCCAAGACTCTGCACCCCCGTCTCCTGCCCCAGGTCACAACCTCCTCCTTCACCCAAACGCCCTTCCAAACCCAACATTCCCTCCTCCACCTCAGTCACCTACCCTGAGCTCTGTTCTGCACTCAGCTTCCATCCCAGGCCCTGTACCCTTTCCATAAACAAGTGTGGCCCTTGACCCCTTAACAAAATCTTGGAATGACTTTCCAGCAAACATTATTGCCCAGCCCTGATTTAAACTGTGCTATTTGCCAAGTTATTCTCACTTAAATGTGCACCTGATTTCCAGTCTGAGCTTGTCTTGCAACTTCCTGCTTTAAGTTTATTTTATTCAAGTTTATTCAAGAGAAAGCTAAGAAGTAACTTTATCATGGTCTGTAAATACCTTCGGACCGATCTGTATGTTGTGTGGACAGATTTCTGAAATCAGATATTTGAGGTTTTGTTCACTTGTTGCTGAACTTGAGCAATATTTCATGGGAGAGGAAAAAAGTTAGTGACTAGTAAATATCCAGTTGTTAATGTAAGCATTTTTCTTCAGTACCCTAGAATATTACAGGAATGATATTAAGCGACAGCATTCAACAACAAATTCACTCCTCTCCCCTAAGATTTAAGATCCGGCAGTAGATGAAATAATATTCTCTCATTTAAAACCAAGAACTTTGGGTTGGCCTAATGGTATCACTGCCCTGCTGTGCGAGAATACTGGATTCGGTTTCTCTTTCACTGTCCATATCAGTAGCATTTTGCTTGGTATTTGGAGTAGTGAGTAATACTTGTTTTCAGTAATTTCCTCGAATATATTATTCAACAGTATGCATAGGAGACAGGCAATGTTAACAATCCCGATTCAATATATTTTTTGTTGTGTTGGCTGGGATACTAACCTTGAATTTTTCCTTTACAGTTTGACATTGGTATCCCTTCAATGACAAAGTGCTGTAATCAACATGACAGATGCTATGATACGTGTGGCAGTAAAAAAAATGACTGTGATGAACAGTTTCAATATTGTCTCTCCAAGATCTGCAGAGAAGTACAGAAAACACTAGGAATATCAGAGACTGTACAGGGTAAGGCAGAAAAAAATAGCATGTAAGGTATATCAAGTTGATCTTTTACTGAAGCTCTATAAGGACTCAGACTCTGGGGTCTAAAGGGACTATCATAGTTATCTTGTCTGACCTTCTACAGTTGTGGTTAGGTGAGGTTGTGGGACCTGCAGAAGTAGTAGAGGACCCAAAGCCTTGTGATTTAAAAAACTCCAAGTTATAGAGAATCCATCACTTTTTACCCCTAATTCATACCAGCAAGACACAGGCCCCTTTCTGCAGAGGAAGGAGAAAAACCCCTAGGATCTTTGCCAATCTGAAATGAGGGGAAAATTCCTTCCTGATCTCAAATATCACTATCAAGCCAGTGACACTCAGACTGAAGCTCACAGGCTGCAAGTAACTCTTTAATGTCACATGTGGCTCTCTGCAGCACATCCTGCTTTTACCATGTTATCAGTCAATTGTACTTGATGAAACAGTAACTTAGCTATTTTGCTCTTAGAGTTTTATTATACATATACACACAGACACTTTAAAAATTGAAAATGAAACAATGAATTCACATTATTATGGCTTTTTTGGAGAATGCTAGAAAATAAGCACGGCCAGACAGGGTCAGACCAAAGGTCCATCTAGCCCAGTATCCTGTCTGCTGACAGTGGCCAATACCAGATACCCCCAGAGGGAGGGAACACAACAGGTAATCCTCGCATGATCCTTCTCCTGTCATCCATTTCCAGACAAACAGAGGCTAGGGCACCATTCCTACCCATCCTGGCTAATAGCTATTGATGAACTTAACCTCCATGAATCTCTCTCTCTCTCTCTCTCTATCTCTCTCTCTCACTTCTGGCAAGAAGTTCTAGAGGTTGACTGTGTGCTGAGAGGGGGAAAAAAAACTTCCTTTTGTTTGTTTTAAACCTGCTACCTATTAATTTCATTTGGTGACCCCTAGTTCTTATATTGTGGGACCAAGTAAATAACTTTTCCTTATTCACTTTTTCCTCACCAGTCATGATTTTATAGGCGTCTACCATATCCCCCTCTCAGTCTAATCTTTTCTAAGCTGAAAAGTCCAAGTCTTTTTAATCTCTCTTCAAAGTTCATTGCTGATTTGGCTCCCGAGCCACCAAGGTCTGAGTATAACAGAGCTGACCAGAAGATTTGGATAGCCTTAAAAACGGTGGTGAATACCAGAAACATACACATCTGGGAAAATTCTCTGAAGTAACTCAGGATCCTCCCCCATCTCATATCTGGATGCTGAAAATATCTGCTAATAGCAGTTGTAGGTGGGCCATAAGCCATTGCAGACACCACCCGCTCCATAAATTTATCAAGCTTAGTCTTGAAAACAGTGTACAATGACAATAACCCTTCTTGTGTCTACTGGAAATATCTCGCCTGATGCATCCTAAGACTATATTAGCCTTTTTTATGGCCATATCACATTGTCATCCTGTGATCAACTGATGCACCCAAACCTTTTTTAACTTCCAACTGATAGGTCCTCAGCTTATAGTAAAAATTCTTGTTGTTGGTCCCTGAGTGCTAGGGATGTAAAATCCTGTTTAAATTAGTTAACTGGGTTAAATGTGATTTTTAATCTGTTAACCGATTGAATGGAGATGCAGGGGGACTGCTAAAGCCCAGCAAGAGTGGGCCTCCTGTCAAAGATAGGAGCTGCTCCAGCGGGGCTGGAGCACTCCCCCACCTGCCGCAGGCCCCGCAAGGTAGGGGACTGTTCCAGCTCCCACTGGTAAACCAATCACATCCCTACTGCATACATGACCTTGTACTTTGCATTATTAAATTTCATCCCATATCTATTATTCTAGTTTTCAAAGACCTCTAAATCTTCTTGTATGATATTCTGGTTCTCCTCCATCTTGGCAGTATCTCCCAACTGTGTATCATCTGCAAATTTTAATCAGCACACTCACACTTCTTGTACCAAAGTTATCTAATAAAAACATTAAATAAGAGTGGTCCAAGGACCAGTTAATGAGAAACTCCAGTAGTAACTTTCTTGCAGCCTGCCAGTTCACCTTTCTTTATGAACAATTGTCATACAGTTCCTTACTAAAATCCAGGTAGATTAGATCTGCACTTTCCTTAAATGTAGGTATTTGCAGTTCTTCGGTCACAGGGTATGACCTACTTTAATGTTTTTATAATAATTAAAAGTCCTTGCTATTGGGTTTGGAATTTCTTGTCTAAGTTCCTTTAATATTCTTGAATGGAGACTATCCAGGGCCCCCAGTTTGGCTCCACCACAGATGTGGGGATTTCTAGTTTTGTATCTTTCTTCCCTTTAGTCACCCTGCCATTGTCCCCAAGCACCTTGTTACTCTTATTAAAAACTGAGACAAAGTGTTAATTTAGGTGTTAGGCCATACCTAGTTGGTCTTTGGTCTCTATCCCATCATCCGTGCTTAGCTGTTGCTTCTTTTCTTGTTTTCTTTTTGTGTGTATGTCTAAAGAACCTTTCAGGTTGGTGGTGGTGTGTGGTTTTTTTTGTTTGTTTTTTTTGCAAAGTCCAACTCTGTTTGGCTTTTAGCAGTTCTCACTTTTCCCATATGATTTTAGACCTTGAAAAGACAGTTCTCCTTTCTGATCCCTCCCTGGCTTTCTGCATTCTTGTAACAACTTGTTCAAGATATTTGTACATCCAGTTTGGTCTGCAGCCCTTCTGTGCGAATTTTCCCCCTTGCTCAGTGCTGCCTGTTACTACTATTACTTCGCTTCATTTTCTTATTCCACAAATAAGTCCTGTTTCTCCATTAGCCAGTTTTTTCCTCTGCCTTATAGTCACATGCTTCTGCTTGCTACTTTCATCATCTAGCAGTCTACCCCCACAGTTCTCTGAGCCAGCCTATTTCTGGACATCTTTATGTTTCCTCTCAGACTCTTCTCTCCTCTCCTTCCCATCATCATCTGCTCAAACCTGTTTCAAAACTCAATTAGTAGATTCTAGCTGCATCTCCAAACTTTGGGCCATCTCTTCTATCATAGCGGGCGGGGGCATTTTCTACAAACAAAGCACCCTCTCCAGAACAATGCACATAATACTGCAGCTTCCATGTCCAGTCAGTTTCATTGTCTTTTCTGGTCACTACCAGCACCCCCTTTGTAGCTGTTGTAGCCTTCTTTCCTAAGTATCTGTCAAGAAGGGGGCAAGAGGGACCACATACCCTCCTCTAACATCTCTGCATTCATCCAATTGCTTTTGTGCTAGCTGGCTGCCTTTATCTGCATGCTGACTGGGGAAGCTCTGCCCCCTAATCAAGGTTCAGGTGTGATCAAAAGTTCTGCTTCTCACAACATACTGCTCCTTATTAGACTGTGCAAGCTGAAAACAAACTAGTAAACTCTCTCAAAAATTCACTCACTGCTCTAAGGTTTTGTCTCCCTTCTCCTTCAACAGATTTCCTGTCAGATGCCCCTGTTTTCACCTTTGTGTGCAGTGTCACAGCTGCCAGCACATTTGCATAGACTGTTTAATCTAATTGAAACAGAAACTCGTACTAATACAAAATTAATTTTATTTCACTTTCTCTATTTTTTAAGAGAAGAGATCTGTGACATGTACTCCTGATTTTTATAAATGTAGAGCTAATAAAGGTAGAGGGGAGGAAAAAAATTCTCTTCAAAGAACTAAATGAATATTTCCCAACTCCTACACAGAGATCCCCTAAAATATTACCCTAACTTGTATTGTTATTAGACTGAAGTCAGAAATGAGACTATGAAAAGAACTCCGCTAATAACTGAACTTTATCTTTTAAATTCATGCTCCCTTTTTAATGTGCTTGAAAACCAGCAATATAACTTCATAGAAATGACAAATCAGGCTATTCGTAGTACTACAGTACTATAAATATTACTGCATTGGATGTGTTTTAACTGGCTACTACATGTGACAAAGTGAAGTGCAGCAAATGCTAAGCTGTTTTCTTTTACATATAATATGCAGTTATATATTAGGTAGTGAACATTAATTTTGCTGCATACACAGTCCTTTCAAGTTTGAATTTTACTCTTAGCATAAGTGTCTGTAGTTACTGAAAAATCCAAAGACTCGTGTTCTTTTTCCAGGTAACTGAGGTTGTTTGGTTATAGACTTCTAATGAATTTATTTCATAGAATTATAGAATATGAAAACTGGAAGGAACCTTAAGTGGTCATCAAGTCCAGTCCCCTGCACTCATGGCCGGTCCAAGCACCATCTAGTCCAGAGGTTGGCAAAATATGGTCCACAGGCTACATCTGGCCCATTGAACTGCTGGATCCAGCCTGCAGCCCAGTAGGAGCCTCAGGCAAGCTCCCTGCCTGCTTTGCTCCTGCACACCACTCAAAGCAGCTGGATGCAGGAGCCATGTACTTCTGAGCATTGGGGGGAAGAGAAGTTAACTGGATTGCAGTTACATTAAAAAAAGTGATCTTGTGCTTAAAAAGGTTGGAGACTACCGATGTAGACTACACACTTAACTGAAAATCCGGGCTTTATTGGTTAATCTTGTCGGCTACACGCATCTCCTTGATACCCGTGCTACTACATCTCATAGAGAGGCAGCAACACAGAGGGTGAGAGAGGCAGGCAGGAGCCAGTATGTGCAGGGAGCGTACAGTGTGATCCTATATTGATTTGATCTCCTCTTGTGTCTTGCAGCATGTGAATCAACTGTTCAGTTGTTGTTTGATGCTGTTATACATTTAGGATGTAAGCCATACCTGGATAGTCAGAGGGCTGCATGTATGTGCCAGTATGAGGACAAGACAGACCTGTAAAAGAAGACACTAACAGCTCATGAGCTAGAACAAAGAAAAAGACAATGTGTTCGGAGAACCAGTGTTTTGTTACAAAGCTGCTTAATTTCATTTTCACAAAGCATAGCACAAAATGGTTCGATCATTCACTAAAGTATTTTTCTAATTTAAAAAAATTGCTTTGAAATTGAAAGAAGTTTTCTCCTTCAACACATATCTGGAGGATTGAGCAGGGTTGTTCATAGAATGCTACTGCAAAAACTGCTGGTGGGTTTTGCTATTAAAAAAATTAAAAGTTGGTGGTGGGGAATGACGGAAATTAAACCAAATAGACTTTCAGACTCTTTTTTAAAGTAGGTCAAGTTTAGGTTTACCAACTTTTAGTGTTTCTAGTATCTCAATACCTTCAACACATATCTGGAGGATTGAGCAGGGTTGTTCATAGAATGCTACTGCAAAAACTGCTGGTGGGTTTTGCTATTAAAAAAATTAAAAGTTGGTGGTGGGGAATGACGGAAATTAAACCAAATAGACTTTCAGACTCTTTTTTAAAGTAGGTCAAGTTTAGGTTTACCAACTTTTAGTGTTTCTAGTATCTCAATAGAAAAGGAAGACTTTTTTTCTTTTTGAAATATTGTGTGTATTTAGTGTGCAATCTTAAAAGTCTTGCACTTCTGTGCTTTTGGTGGAATATCACTGTGATGAACTGACTTTTGTTTCTCTGCTTCAGCTGTGTTACTGTATATGAAAAAACAGTATGTTGAAAGCTAGACCAAACCTAGAACTAAAAGCTACATTTTCCTATTTGATATATCAGACACACTTCTGAAACATTAGTCCAATCAGAAATACGGACACATAAGGCTTGAAATGTGTAATTGAACTGTTCAGAACCTAGCAAAATGTGAAGTGATACTTTCGACATGACAACTTTGGGAAGCACTGCTGTTCTTACAGATTTTCGTAAAAAAATAATTTAATGTTTATATTTTTCAAATCAAATGTATTTTTATTAAATGTACCACCTGACCGAGGCATTCTATTTAACAAAGGTGTCTTTATATGTATAGCAGGGATGTATTTTAATTGTCCAAAGAAAATAATTTATATTTAACTCTTGTAATGAAGACTTTGCTCCTGTTTGCCTATTCTGGCTTATCTTCCTCTGACTCTGTTTTTTGGGGGTTTTATAAAAATGATTTTTAAAAGTGTCTTTGTATTTCAGCTACTCATGCAACAGTCAGAGTACCCAAGACATCTTTTGTACAAATATATTGTTCTGTGCAGCTAGAAAATATACAACTTCAAAGTTTCCCTCATTTGTGTATTTTTTTCCCCCTGTGTGACTTAACTTAGTTCAGACAAAGTTACTCAGTTTTGTGTCCAGGGTAGTTTTATCTTAATTTTAAGTACTAACTTTAAAAAAATGCAATTTCAGCAAGAGGTCATGAATTTTGATTATCTCTAAGGCTAGATCTACACTTCAAAGCTAGGTCACATAGCAATGGCAATCCAGGAGGAGGTGGGAACTACACAATCCTGTAGCCATCATAACTATGCCAGGAAAAATAAACAAAAGCAACCTCACTGTAGATATAACTTAGCCATTATAGTGCTTCTGTCAACATAGCTAATGGTCATTTGGGGAAGTTGTGATCCTACATTAGAGACTGGTCTACACTAAAAAGATTAATCAATTTCACTACATTTGGCATGGGTGTGAAGAAATCCATATGCCTGAGCAGTGTAGTTAAGATGACCTAAGTGCCCGCGTATACAGCAATAGGTCTAGAGCAAAATTTGGAAGAGCATGACATTAGTCCTCTGTTTTGTACATGCTCTATAAAACTGGATATTAGAAATTGACAGTGTGCTAGCATTCTTTGTTAGTTTTTCCAGTGTATCATCTGTATGTACAAAGTATTTTATTCCTTTCAAAGTGTAAAACAGCAGCAGATAGAAGTGTTTTTGAAAAAGTTAATTGTTGTTTGTGACTATCCTACTCTAGGCTAGTCTTGATTTCCTTTCTGGTATTCTAAAATTTACTGCTAAAGCAATTATCAACATTAATTTGAGCTGTGACATTTAAAATTTTGACTGAACAAATCTAAAAACAAACACTCCCCCTCAGTAGGTTTAGTAAGAGTTTTTACATTACACACCCAAATAAGGAAACTTTCTACAGCTACAACAAGCTGTTTCTTGTTCTTATCAAGCTTGTACAGAACTTGCAAGAAAATGACCAGATAAATATTAAAAGGAGGTATAGCTTCACCACTGTTGAATAATACAACACAAGTGTTGCAATGGCATAAATATCTCTCAGTACAAAAGAAGTGTTTAACTTCTTCCACACTACCGTGTGAGACATGTAAACAAGGTTTTCTTATGGCAGAAAGCTTGTGGATGTCAAAATTCTGAGAAGTACCCATCAACATCACAAAAGGAAAAATATGTACAAATGCATTATACAGTACCCAGGTCACCAGAGGATATCTATTTCTGCATGAATTAGATCAACATTTAATTCTTTAACATAGTTGTAAAATCCCAGTTTCCTGAGACATCTCAAAACTATGAACATGACCATTAAAATGACTTTAAACCTTGATGAACAAAAGGCTGCTATGGGGAGTTGTAGGTACATAGTGTCGCTTCCCTTTCTCTGAGTACCCAGAGCTCTCAGCCCGTTCCCCTCAGAACTCTGATTCATTGTTTCCAAAATTGTATCCAAGGATATACCCATGCAAACAGCAGCAGCATAGATGTGGCAGCAGGGGGTTTAGCACAGGCTAGCAACGCAACATACTCAGGGCCCCCACTGCGCTCTTACAGCCATGCTGCTGTGTCTATACTGCTATTTTTAGCCATATTATGTTAGTATAGAAGAATAACTGATACCAATCCAACTCCATATACACAATTGATGTCAAACTTAAAAAAATGTTTTCTTTTAATATACCTGCACTTTGTCAAACTTAAAATGTTTTCTTTTAATATACCTGCACTTTTGTTCAGCTACCCACTGACTTCTGAAACATTTCTATTATATGCATATGAAATATTACTCTGAATAGACACCAGAACAAAGAACTTGCCTGCAGCTATCTTCTGAAATGTTAGAGGCTTCAGTTGCACATTATGTCAGCGTGAGTCTACATTTAGTATAATTGAAGAGTAAGATAACTCCCTCACTATCAAACTGTGCTGGAACAGTCTTGGATTAATTTCATTCCTGACAAAGAAGCTCCTTCAAGTGTGAAGTTTTAACTACATCACTGAAATTACTGAATTATTGAATTATCATTAGGATTTAATGGGCAAAAACAAAAGAAGTGGGCTTTTTGTGGGGGTTTTGTTGTGAAATATTAGCTACTGATGTCACATTTATTCAGCATATGCCCATTTTGGTTAGTAACTGTAGTGGACTATCTTAAAATGAAAGAAAGAACTTGAATCTGCTCTTTATTCTTTATGGAAGTCTCTATTTCCCCAGCACTGTAGTTTTCAGTCTCATTTTCCAACCATCAGGGTCTAGATCTACCAGAGTTTATATGCACATATGTACTTTGGGACTGGCAAACATGTTGTGATACAAATATAGGAAGCAATAAAATATAGCCACAGCATTTGTGATAAATATATTTGATTCGCCTCAGCTGGAGCTTTTCTTTACAAAAGGTGTGTAGACTAATAGTAATGATTAAAGTGTATAGTACAGTATACACAACAATCTACCAGCAAGCTGAGACACCTACCCTAAAGTGTATGCAATGTAAATGAAAATTAAAAAAAACTAGACATAAGATAGCAATTCAGGTTAAAAAAAAAAACAGAATGGAGAGATTAATGCAGGTTAGAACAGGAAAGGAAGCATTCCAGGAAGATATAAGTGGTAAGGAGGGTTTGGAGGAAGATGCTGGCCATTGTCTGAAATGGGAAATCATGACAAGCCTGGAAGATAGAACTTGTAGAGCCTTGCAAATCCACAGAGATCTGTTTATACACACATCCGCAGCTCATTTTTGCAAACCAATACATATTTTGTATCAATAACCCTGAAAAATTGTGGATATCCACTTTATATCCACAGGTATCCACCTCTGCAGATATCCACAGCTCATTTTTGTGGATATGGATACAAATTTTGTAAACAGGAAAGGCTCCAAAAATGTGCAGAAGCAACATAAAGGCACCAGGAAGGAGAGAATAAAATGGGGAATCACAGAAAAAGAGCACAAAAAGGCACAATAAGGTAGGGAGAGAGAATACATAAGGTTTTGACAGCAAGCTTGAATTTGATGCAGTAATACGGGATGAAGAACCTTTTTTGGGTCGGGAGGCTGCTGACACACTGAACAATCAGTCAGGAGCTGCACAGAAGTGAGAAGCAAAAAGAGCCACAACAAAAACAAATCCCTCAGTGTCATGGCCCCCAAGTAAGAAACAGAAAGACACTCCCCACATTCCCTTCACATACCACAGCTTAGGCTCCAGGCTAGTAAATTTTATGTACTCCAGACCTGTCGTGGGGCAGTGGAGGGACTGGAGTGCCAGCATGGGCTCCCCAAAGCTGGGGAGGGGAGCCCTGCAGCTTGGGGGTCAGATCCAGGCAAGTGAGGTGCCATATGCTGCCCCCAGGATTTAAGTTTCCCACCCTTGCAGTAAGAAATACGAGTCCAGTGAAAGGATTCAGAAGGGGAATAGCTTGGTCAGAACAGCAAGTTCCACATTTTAAAAAAGAAAGATATTTTAGAAAACAAAATACCTAAGGGTGCATCTACACTGCACGATGGCTGGAAATAAGAGACACAATTTGAGCTATGCAAATTGCATATCTTATTTCAATGCTATTTCGAAATAGCTTATTTCATCATTTGGCGTTGTCTACACAAGCTCGGAATAGAGCGCTATTTCCGAACATCCCTTACTCCTTGTAGAATGGGGTTCACAGGGGCATCAGAATAGCGAGCCTGAAATAGCAGGCTTGCTGTGCAGATGTGGGATAGTGCTGGCAACAAACCCCGTTGCCAGCTTTGTCCACATATTCATTCTGCTGATACCATTATTTGCACATTATGCTAGTGACAGAAAGGCAGATCCTAAGTAAGGCAGCTGTCGCGCTAACGTTGGGGGAGTGGGAGGGGGACATGCAGGCCCTGGTTTTTAAACCTGTGCAGCAGTGAGGCATGCAGTTGTCGGCATAGTTCTAATGACCAAACTCCCCTTAACTCTGTTTTGCTAACCAAGCCACATGGCAGAGACCCCTGGGAGACAGGCAAGGCCGACTTTAGGGGTGCTCAGATCAGCATGGGGGTCTGGACTCAGCCCACTCGTTAAAAATACAGGGGCCAGGTCTGAAATGCTCAACTGGCTCCTGCCACCTCAGATCCTGCAGGGTGGATGCTGTTGGGAGCTGGAGTTTGGGTCAGCCCAGTGATCCAAAACAAAGCCCCAAGCTGCAGTGTGTGTGTGTGGGGGGGGGGGGTATTATTGCAGCCCCCTCCCCAGCTGGAGGAGAGCAGCGGGCTGGCCTCTGAGTCCGCTGCCGTGCTGGGGGTAGCAGCCAGCCCATGAGGGATAGGA